GAGACTGGAGAAACCCCGAGAGTATGGCCCCAGACACCCTTTTAGCTCAGTGGTGAAGTCACTAGAAGGGAGAGTGTTGACATGTTGTGGGATTGTTAACCATTGTCATAAAACAATACGTGTACTAACTGTTTAATGAGAAACTATTTGTTCTGTAAACCTTCATCTAAAGTACAATAAAAAAGGAAAAAAATTAAAAAAATAACATTACCCCATATAAAATCTTAGAGAATATAAAAGAATGACCACTTCCCATAAATTTTTATAGCCCAGTATAATATTGATATTAAACTGACAAGCATATTATAAGGAAAGAAACGTATAGGTCATTCATGAATTTAGATGCAAAAGTCCCAAATAATATATTATCAAATATACCAAAGGGTAATATTTTATATCCAAGTTATGTTTAATCCTGGATATAAAGTTCACTTAACATTTACAAATCAACCAATATGATTCCCAATATTAATAGGAAAAAAAGGAGAAAAGAATATATTATCACAATAGCCAGTTGCTGTGGAGTCGATTCTGACTCATGGCAACTTCACGTGTGTCACAGTAGAATTGTGCTCCATAGGGTTTTCAATGGCTGATTTTTTGGAAGTAAATCACCAGGACTTCCTTCCCAGGCACTCTTGGTAGACTTGAATCTCCAAACTTGCATTTGCCAGCTGAGCACATTAATGATTCACACCACCCATGGATTCCCAATGTCACCAATAGACAAAGAAAAGTTACTTGACAAAATTCAACACCTATTAGTGATTTAAAAAAACAAAATAAAAAATTATTTGAAAACTAGAAATAGAAATGAGCTTCTATAAAACATCTACAAAAGTATAATACTTACTGGTAAAATATTGAAAGTCTTAAAAAGGATAATTGCTGTCACCATTTAAACATTGTATTGGATGCTTTCCTCAATAAAATTAAAAAAAAAAAAAAAACAAAGAATGGGAAACAAGCAAACAGCAACCAAAAAAGAGCAGGAGTAGCAATACTAATTTTAGATAAAATAGACTTAAGGCAAAATCCACCAAAAAAGACAAAGAAGGACACTATATAATGATTAAAGGGACAATCCATCAGGATGATAACCATAAATAAATAAGTACTCACTCAGTGCCAGGACTCCAAAATACATAAAACAAACTCTAACAACACTGAAGAGAGAAATAGACAGTTCCACAATAATAGCAGGAGACTTCAACATGCCACTATCGGTAAAGGACAGAACATCTAGAAAGAAACTCAGCAAAGATACAGAAAATCTAAAGACAACAAACCAATTGACCTCATAGACCTATATAGAACACTCTACCCAACAGCAGCAAAGTACACATTCTTTTCCAACACACATTTCTCTTTTTTGCTTTTTTAAATTCTGTTTCTCACTCTTCTTTCTCTCACCCACTTAGCTCTGCACATCACATCCCCTCACTTCCCTCCTGCCTATCTGCAATGAATGCCAAGCTCCACCCCCAGAACAGTACTGGCACAGACCCCAGGACCCTGCCCAGCACTGCCCTCTAGCCCT